TTCTTATGCATCTGAAAACAATACAATAACTGATATAGAGAGAAGAATATAACAATTTGAACAATATAGAGCTAGTTTTTAGTGTATCAAATTCTCCGATGCAAATTGAATATTCGTCTAAACCCGGTATTGTTTCCCAAATTAGAAGAATTGTTAGTTGCCATAAACAAAACTCGATTATTCGAACATATGTATTCATAAATTTTGAATTTTTTCATATTATAATTTTGTTTCGGCAATTGCATGATTCAAACGGATCTGTCCCAAATATGAGGGCGGTCGTCCAACAAGGGCGAAGGAAACAGCTTATACAAGTTCCTGTTTGTAAATTCGGGTTCATTTTTACTTTGTATCTTACGCTTCACAAAGCAAAATGATAGTCTGAATAAAAGTGCTTGTTACATAAATCTAATATCTCTTAAAACTGAGTGATATGTATTATTGATTTCCTGCTATATTTTCACTGGATAGAATTGAAAATTAATTAGCTAAGTGCACATTTTATTGATTGGTCAATAAACTAAACGCTGGAGCTAAAATGTAGCGCTGTAATGGCACGAATATGGATGGCATTTTAATTCTGGAAATGGTATTAGTAATATAGATTGGATACCCTGTGGGTTAATTAAAAATCAATTTGTATATAAATTTAATATAAAGTAACGACGCGAGATAAGAATTTAGTATAAAGTAATGATGCAAACTGAATTAAACCAAAATAAAGACCGATACAGTATAGTTTATATTTAATTTTTAGAGGAATTTAATATAAAAACGATGACGCAACTTAAAAATTAAATAATTTTTTGCAACTTGCGCTCTCTGCTGTACAGTCCGTACCTTGACCTAAGTCGTGTCGACTCCCCTTGGTTTTCTTTGTTAATTTTAATGGGATGAACACGTGCCTCTATCAACAATGTGAGTTTTTTTATCTGTAGACTATCTGTTACCAGCGGCTTTGCCTCGCGGATTTTGCAAGCAAACCCCATTTGTATTTAGTATTTCAACAACCATAATAATTATTATATAACACCTACCGCTGAGAATGATGAAAGTTGCGGAGAATCAAACGAACTATTTTCAATTTGATCAATTTTCTGGAACGTTTACAATCGTTCCATAATCGAACCAATATGCAATAACAAATTCGAATTTAAAACGGTTCGAACATTTTTAAAATCGAAATACATAAAAATATTTATAACAATGTCTGAAATGTTATTAATTTAATACATCTAAGTACTCCATGAAGACTAAATCTTCTCCCTCTCTTTCCCGCGGGGGAATTTCGAAAAGTCCCTTTTTAGTGTGCATTGCCATGGCGTAACCTACTAAAACGCAGATAAAAACAAAAAATCGCATCTGAAATAGTACAGTAGAAGCCGTTTTTCCGGTTAAGCCTTAATCCTCTTTTTCTCCCCCTGGGGGGAATTTTGAAATATCTCTTCTTAGTGTGCGTTTTTATGATGTACCCTAACTTTGTACCAAATTTCAGCTCTTTAGGTTTAGCGGTTTGCTCTGGGTAATGATGAATCAATCAGTGACTCACTCAGTCAGGACAAGTAATTTTATATATTTAGATAATATACGATTGGAGTTTTAAAAAAAACGATTGGGTGCTAGTTTTTAAATTAAAGAAAATGTGATTGGCTGTTTGTTTGTAAAGAAAATATAATTGACTGTTAGTTTTTAAAGAAAATATGATTGAATGTTTTAAGAAGATTTAACTATTTTTATTTTCAAATTGATATAATTTTCTTCTCATCGAATTTATTTAATTTTTTTCATCATATCATCAATAATGTTACTAATATCTTGAAGTATATAGACTAGCAAACTGTGAGAATTTTCACTGACATATTTGAGATTTTTGTTCAGTATTTCATAAAGAGAAACTACATCCAATTCTCATATTTCATTTATCAATATATTTCCTAACAAAATTTTTGGAGAAGTCGAAATTTTATCTCATAGAAAAATCTTTTTCTACTACACCCGAAGTGGCCCCCCCTGAAGTAACCTGTGGGGACCACATTCTTACGTCTATCTGTTCATAGACTTATTTCTTTTTTCGAACGCTCTGGTCGAATCATTCATTTTTACGAGAATGTAAATTTTTTTTCCTTTTTATCAACCATGTTAGAAATATCGCGATATATTTCTGATTTAAAAACAGGAAACGATTGATAGTTTTAACTATTTTTTATTTTAAAACTTAATATAATGTTACAGATTTTAATTTTCTTCTTCTTCTTCTTCTTCGAATGTATTTAATTTTTCCATTATATCATCAATAATGTTACTAATATCCTGAAGTATATAGACTAGCAAACTGTGAGAATTTTCAGCGATGTATTTATGATCTAGTTTGTGATATTTAATAATATAACTTCAGAAAAGATGCTATTTGAAATCGTGCATAAAATCTTCGTTTAGTGCAGGTAACCCCCGCATAACATGGCACTTCTATACAATGGATTTACTCTAACACGGTTCGAGAATTCGTACCATTCCCCGTATAACACGATACTTTAATAGCACAGATTTACTCTGACACGGTTCGAGAATTGGGTAAAACCCTCGTAAAACAGGAAATGTAATAAATTTTTACATACTTAAGTAATAATAGTTCACGAAAATTATTATTTTCGTGAACTATTAGTACTTAAGTATGTAAATTTTCTCTTTTCGCCTTCTGTCGATACACGTGGTCCTTCTCGAAACTTGTTTCAATGTTGCCAGATCGCGATACTTCTGCTTCTGATGTTGCCGAATGTTTTCCCCTTATTCCATACTTGCTTTATTCTTCATAAGTGCTTAGCATCATATAAGAAAATTTATAAAGACCTTTTAACTAGAAGCAAGCAATCTAAAATTACATACATTTTGCAAAAGGTAAAGCATGGATCTGAAGATAATGCAGAAAAATGCACAGAGGATAAGGATAACTTGCCAAAAAGAAAACGCTCTCGGTTAATTAATAGTGCTTTTAGTGATGACGAAAAAAACATTGTTTAATTTATATTAATATGTATCACTTAAAATTTAAAAATGTAAAAATTGATAACGATCTATAAATTTGAAATGATCTAATGTAAACAAATTTTTCTGAATTTGAAAATGCTATTTGTACGAAAGAATTAGTTGGAAACGATAGTCCTGCAAGAATTAAAGTATATAATTCGACCAATACGGGAAAAGCAGATGCAGAAAGTATTTCAACGATGACTCGACGAATTTCTGAACCTGCCATTAAAAGCATTTGGCGATATCGAGAAAAAAAATCAGTTTTTAGATCGAAATTCCTGGGTATTAAAAAGTACGTACTGTACTTCTCGAGAGAAAAACGAAAAATAAATTAAAAGAACAAACTAAATTTTTTAATAAGAACCCGGTTTAGGAACAGTTATTTTTTACGATTTATCACATTCACAAATTCCAAAAGTATTAGCCAATCAACAACTTTATTTTTACCCATCTGCATTCTGAATATTACAATATTTCTCGCTCCACTTACCATTCTTTCAAACAAGCGAACATACCGCAAACACGTTTACGATACACACACTCAATTTTTCAATATTCAAACTGTTTTTTTTTCTATTTCCACAGCAATGTCACTTTTTCTTACTTTAAAGAAAAATATTATTTTTTAAATTGTTTGAAAAGTTAACTGAATTAAATGTTCAATGATTGCAGTATTTTTGTTTAACCATACACATTAAACAAAGTCATGTCTGTTACATCCATTCGTTCTTTCACGCCATATTCATCAATTGCGTTATTGAATGAGGTGACAAACAACAAATGAATTCACCAACACCATTGAAAAATAATAAAAGAAAGCTAATGAGTGCGGCTGCAAGAACTCTGCATAATGTAGTATGGTTAATGTCACTTTATCGATTTATTTCAAACTTATTAATACGTATTCTTGTATATTAAAATTGACAGGAATTCGTTCCTTCTTACAGATTTCCAGGCTAAAGCGTTAATTTTAAATTATCTAATTTCATTCAGAAACTAACAATTGATGTCATTTGCAGATCCACAGTGGACCAATAGAAACACTTGTGTAGTAACTGACGAATTGTTTCCCATAAAACGCAAGACAAATAATTAGTTCGTACGGCTTCTGTTTACGGAAGATTAATTTAAAGTAATGGCGAAAAATGATACGAGAAAATATATTTCCTGCTAATGAAGGAAAAGTGAAAATTGAATAAAGATACTTTAACATTATTTTCTAATAATTTTTGCATTCGGACGTGACTTATTTTCAAAATTTTTGCATTTTGAATAATTTTATTCGGACGTGACAAACTTTAAAACAATACGTATGCAATAAGTTACTGGCGTTAAAGATCTATACGTTTATTTACCATTATTATGCGCAATTATGCATTTCATAAACTTTATTAAAACTGTTAGAAAGTATACTCTTTACCATCAATTTTTATTTTCACTGAAATTGAAATTGTTCGTAAGGCAAAATCACTTTAATGCAATATAATGTAAAATTTATCTGAAACAAAATTGTCACGTAATAAGTTACGTCCCGCAATGTTTAACACTTTATTTACTTCACTTTAATGTGTATACAGTGTTTAGAACTTGGTTGTCTGTGTGATATATCTATTTTTGAAATTAAAAGTTTTCGTTATTTTTTCTTTTTTACTGTTTATGATTTCAAAAAGATGACGTTTACGGTAAAATTCACTTATTTTAATCTCTTTCGGATATGCCAATAAAGGCTAGTGACAATAATTTATCTTCGGGCAAACACAATTACTTGTCATGTTTCTGAATACACTTAATACGCTCTAAATAAATGACACGTATGTAAACAACTAAAAATAACTATATTAGTTTTTAATTAATGAAATTTGTATTTATTCTAAAAGCCATTTTTTTCGGTACATAAATCAATTGTTTTATGCACAAAATGAAAATTACAAAACGAAGAAAATCAGTTTAGAAACTTCTTGTTTCATGTTTAATACAATTTAAAATACGAGCATTGCATATTTTTTGAATAAATGTACTAAAATCATTTCCATAAAAGTCATTGTTCATTACTATTATGATGTTTAATAATATGATACTTTAAAGAAGATTTAAAACGAAATTTTTCTGAGCAATAATTACACGAAAACGGCTTTTCTCCGGAGTGAAGACGAAGATGTCCTATCAGATGATGTTTTAGTGTAAAACTTCGTTTGCAATGGTCGCAAGAGAATGGCTTCTCCCCCGTGTGAGTTCGGAAATGTGTAAAACATTGTTTGCAATGATCACAGGCAAAGGGTTTCTCTCCGGTGTGAGTCTTAACGTGGTCCCGTAGATTGTAGGAATGGATAAATTGACGATTACAGTATTGGCAAGACAAGAGTCCTTCTCCAGTGTGAATCCTCTGATGATATTTTAAATTATACTTGGAAACAAATTCTTTCTTGCAACTGTCACATTGATACTTCCCATTCTTTCTTTTCTGAATGTTTAAACCTGTAAAATACGACAAATATAAATATTAAAAGCAGTCTAGATCAAAGCTCTCTTCAATTTATTGCCAATCAAATATTTAAATTTAAGCACGCTATTTCAAAAGTACTGTTAAGATTTGGATGTAGATAGAATAAAAATCTACTTTTTCTGGTAAGTTTTTTACATAAAATTTGAAGCTTAAACATACACGAAAATTACCACCACACCAGAAACAATAACTATTTAAACGAATTACCAAAAAGCATTAACAATATCAAAATTAACATAATTTATACACTTTCTGAAAACAATGTAAACGAAGTTTATTTTACAAAAATAAAAACAAACAAATATTTGGATAATAATTTAAAAATATCTTCGTAGATTTCTCATTTATTCTTCACTTGCACGAAAGACAATTTCTTTGTTGATATATTCTTGTATGATTTCTTGGTGGCTTTAATGTTAACAACAGTGGCTTTAATGTTAACAACAGAAGTCGAACACCTCCTTCGACTGCTCTTCTGTTTTCCCGAGAAGAATTCTTCATTTAGTACAGGAGAATGCTCTTGTTTGCTTAATGAATCTGAAAGTCACAAAAAATGCCAAATATAATCGGATACGAGAACGACGTCATACATTATTTTCTAAGTCAAATTTAAATATATCAAAATTAATGTAGTAATTCTAGAATTTCTTTTTTGGCATTTCTTGCCATAATATAGCTTTATCTGCGATTTTTACAAAGAAAAAAATCAGGTACAAATGTATTTTACGAAGAATAGTTATATAAACTTTCCATCGGTTTTTCTATTTTAGAGCTTTCATTGATAAACTAAAAGTTATAAAAACTCAAAGTTATTTTGAATGTTGTTTTTAAAAACACCTTCGTAACAAAGTAGAAATTTACTTACTAATTTTATAAACTTCAGTCAAGAAAGACACGTAAAATACTAACCATACTTGTTACCACAAACACTAAGGCATTCGATACATCACCAAATTTTATTCGAGAAATCTCTTCTTCTGTTTCGTAAAACAATCTTCCTTTTTTCTTTCTAGAGAAATCGTCACCGATATTTCTTCCTTCCATGAAGATTGTAAATCATGTTAAATTTTAAAAAATCTACACCCGGACTATTGATTATCGAAATAAAATGGCGACGGTTTATGTTCGAAGAAACGACTCACTTACCTGTGTGGACGAGATTTCCTTAAGCTTCCATTCGTTTCGTCGTGAGGATGAAAGGGCAATACAATCTACACCCTCTGTCTTTACAGACGCAAAAAACTGTGGGCTATCAACACAGTAAAATAAAACCTCTGTGGACGTCTTCTGTAACCAAAACAGAACGGAAGTACGTCACTAGTATTGAGCGAAGTGTAGCCCACTATACATATTCATTGTTGCTTCCTTTTCTCTGGTGACGAAGACGATCCCAAGACGATGGAGAAAAGCGGGCACCAAATGGCACGTTTCCTTTGATTTCATCCTAAAAGATTTAGCTCATCAGAAAACAATTTTCAATGTATTCGGCATTTAGAATGAAACGTACTTTAGCATTTCTCTAATCTAAAGTTACACTCGCCGAACTTCGACGAAACCTAACTGTCAATTTTCAAAAAAGAGTGGCGCCATCTAATATTTAAAATTCAAAAATAATCTTTCATTTTTTTTTTCAAACTTTGTGGGTCTAAAATTCAAAAATAATCTTTCATCGAAATAATATTAAAAATGACTTCTGTCGAAACCATTATAAATAATTATTTTGAACCCAATAGTCACAAACAGTGGTAAAATGTAAACTAAGTGACCAGAAAATCCACGTTTAAACCGTTCTCCATTTTTGTAATTTATTAATTATGAATTATTCGATTTCTGAAACGGGAGGTCCGATATCTTTGACATTCGAGAAATTGCATTCGGTTTAAGATTATTTAATACTTGGATGTGTGGTAATGTGATCGGTGTTTATAATAATTCTATCGTTTTTTAAATGAAAGAACTTACCGTGCAGACGTAACACTTCGAATTTATCAAGTCGGGTACAGAAAAACCTTCCATTAAACCGTCTAAAACGGAAGTGATATCCCGATATCCCATTACCTCCTTTTCGTATTA